GTTCTCTTTTACTGCTGATTGTTTCACTGGCTTAAAATAACCTATTTTTAAACTGCAATGCTTAAAAACACACGCAAATGATAAATCTTCATGACCACGTAGCACAGCAACATCTTGAACGTGTAGCCGTGATCTCTACTGGTTGACAAATTTCTACCAGTTAACCGTGTCTACCAGTATATTGTCCACCCCTACTGTCAAGGATCGTTAAGTTTTTATAAGTAAAATGATCACTGATCAGGCCAACAGACAATTACAAACAAGAGGTAATAGCGTGTATTGCAAATCATGTCTGGATCATTTCACCTTCAGTGTAGACACATGCTAGTCACAGCACTAGAGCAACACCCTCATGCCATTTCATCATATTGCATATTCAGATTAGTGGTAGTGTGGGAAACAGGTCAAATTATCAGGAATGAGATTGTGGGATTGGAGTGGGAGGTGGACAGTTTACATCATTATATCAAGCTACTGGGCTGATAGGACTCCAGGAACGCTAGAAGGGAGTACTCACCCACCCGTGGGTCCAGCCATGAGATGCTTTGGGTTTTGTGGTCAGTGAAGTATGTTTCTCTCTGAGGGGTGACGGCCTGCTCCCAACCCTCGGGCAACTGTCCTGTTCGGTAACAGTACAACAGCTACAGATCAGCCAGCAGCCAGACCCACACTCCAGAGTGATGACCAGAGAAGTGTGCTTTATTTACTGAGCTACTTTTTGGTCTGCTTAAACGTGCAAAAATTACACTTCAAGAGGTTGCCTTAAAGGGACAACTTTATACTTTATTTACCACTAAAAGGTACATGGGTAATATATCTCAAGGGTATATATTACTAAAATGCACCTTTTAAGGGTAAAAAAGGCACAAAGTTATGTTTTCGAGTTACTGCCCCAGTAACAAGCTGTCGTACCCCCAAAGGTTCGATTTATGTGCATTTGTTCTGACAGCTTGTTGGTTTGTGTGAGATCTTTTATCAAAATGTATTTAGTAAAATGACTTTCCTTTTCAGTTGATGTAACCAAAGTCACAAAGCAGTATTCAATATTACATAATATAACATAAATAAATTCAATTAAACCTAAATGAATAAAATCTAGTTTGTACTCACAGTGGATGTATACAGTTGTGAAAATATTTATAAAATTTACAAGAAACGTTTAAATTTAATAACTCTTTTTATAATGTCATGTGGTGCAACCATCAAGAAAAAAAAAACATTTTCTTTACACACTGAATACATAGTGTTCAAATCTTAATCATAATTCATAAATCATAATTCAATATTACATAATATAACATAAATAAATTCAATTAAACCTAAATGAATAAAATCCAGTTTGTACTCACAGTGGATGTATACAGTTGTGAAAATATTTATAAAATTTACAAGAAACGTTTAAATTTAATAACTCTTTTTATAATGTCATGTGGTGCAACCATCAAGAAAAAAAAAACATTTTCTTTACACACTGAATACATAGTGTTCAAATCTTAATCATAATTCTAATAAAATTTATACTTATCAAGGCAACAAGTTTTCTTATTTTAATTAAATTATATTGAATAATAAATAGTTACTAATAAAGTTATTGCGGAGTTGCACCACATGACAACCTTATTTTACAACCTTAACTATGCTTGCCTTGTCATAAAAAAAAGATCTGATATCATGAGACCTCTCTATGACAATTTAATGTTTAAAAATTATTATTATTATTATTCTTTTTTTTTTTTCTGCATGCTAGACCATATGAATTTGTTTTGGAGGACAACAGCCTCCAATTCAATTAAAATTATATTCAATTGAATTTTTATTCAGAAATTCAAAACACCCTCATCATATAAGATATATATTATGTCATTGTATGAAAGAAATGCATTTTGTATGTTTTAATACAATAAAGAATGAGCATCTCATCACTGACCAGACGACACATTCATACTGGGCTCAATTTCTTACACGCTAAAAAAAGCAGCCGCAGCTGCCTTTAAAACTCTAGGGTGTGATGCAATATGGCAGTTGTTGTTGTAAGCGAGGGGGGAAAAATATGGAAAGCATTCAACAAAACTGTATTGTTCTAATAATGCACTCCTGCATTAGAGTGTCAATTACCCATAATCCCTAAGTTTTGAGGGGGGTCCCACCATGAATTACTGCGAACACACAACAGGTGAAGGCTCAAGCTGGTCTAAACTAAGAATACAGGAAATCTGTTGTCTCTCAAGTTCCTAGAGGCTGAAAAAAAATGCAGTGCTGGAAGGAATATTTCTCCCTCTAAACTCTTTCGTCTTGTTTTTATCCCTCCATCCCCCCCTTCGCAGGAATCTGTTTCTCGGCTGCCAACAAAGCTGAGGCACACCTTTTTTTCCATTTCATCACAAATCAGGATTTGGGAAGAAAAAAAGCCAAACAAAGAAAGCACATTTGGAAATCATTTAAGGTACTGACAGAGTAAGAGCGGCGGCCCGTGTCACGGGACAGAGCAAGCAACTCGCAAAACATGCTACAGAACGCCTCACGTACGACAGTCAACAAATCTAATACAGCTTTAAAAGCCTTCAGATCTGCTGGCTGGGAGGCTTTTTTCATTAAATCAGCATTTGACCCTCTCAGAAATACCAGTTAAACCTCATTCAGGGCCCCTAATCAACAGACAGACTGCTCTATATTACAGAAATGGCAGATAGCCTTCATGTGATATACACTTACTTTAAGAAATTACTAAATGAAACACTTTGTTACTTAGTCTAAAACAATTAATTTTTAATGGTACCTAGCCTAAAATAATACAAAACAGACTTCCTTGAAACGATTCCTTAAAAACACATACTATATTCAAATACTGTACATTCTGAATCTAACCTGATCTTATGAGAAAACCTAACTACAGTATTTTATGCAGTTTCATATGAATTTGTATGATTTGATTTGTACAAAAAAATATATATTCTTTTTAGAAAAACACCAGTCCATCCCTAAACCTAACACTCAGTTTGGCATAAACAGATTGTACAAAAACATATAAATGTACAAATTTATACTAATTCGGTAAAACGTAGCAAATGTAGCTAATAACTGCTATGAGACTGTGGCTTTTCGAAATCGACCCCATACATTAATTTACTATTCCTTGCAATACTCCACTAATATAATCCACTTGAATTCGGAACTTGTGAATTCAGAAACTGGGTGCGCTGAAAGTGCTGTGGACGCCATCTTCTGTTGGGATGCGGGAATTTATTTGAAGTGATCCTCACAGTGCATGGGTGTTCTCTAGCTGCTAGCCATTGAGTGTGCATGAGAAAACATAACTATTTAATGAGTTTGCGATTTCGAATGAATTTGTACGCTTTGATTCGTACAAAAAAAATTTAATTTTTAGAAAAAGAAAAAGAAAATCTAACCCTCGGTGGGGTGTAAACAAATCATACAAAAACGTACAAATTAGATCGTATGAATTCGTACAAATTTGGCAAATGTAAAAAAAGTTAATTGCCATGAGACTGGTGCAAAATGACTTGCCATGGGACTTTTCAAAAACGTCCTCTATAAGCTCATTTACTATTCTCAACTAATATAGTCCACATGAATTTTTTATTTTTGAATTCAGTAACTGAGTGCGCCGGAAGCGCTGTGGACGCCATCTTCTGTTGAGATGTAAAGACACGTCTATTTTACAAGTTAGCGATTTTGTACGAATTTGTATGATTTGATTCATACAAAAACTAATTTTAGAAAAAAAAACTAAGCATGAAGTTTCACGCCTAAACCTAACCTTCATTGGGGCATAAAAAAATGTACGAACACGCACAAATGAGATTGTATGGATTCATACTAATTTGGCAAAATATAAAAAAAGTTAATAATTGACATGAGACTGGCATGAAATGACTTAGCATGAGAATTTTCTAAATTGTTCCCTATATGCTCATTTACTATTCTCAACTAATATAGTCCCACTTGAATTTGAAATGTGTGACTCCAGAACCCGAGTGTGCCATTTTTTTTTAGATGTGGGAATATATTCGAAGCGACCCTCACAGTGTAGAGGTATTCTCTGGTGGCTAGCCATTGAGTATGCATGAGAAAATATAGCTATTTTACAAGTTTGTGATTTTGTATGAATTTTTATAATTTGATTCATATAAAAATGTACAATTTAAAAAAAAACTAAGCATGAAGGTCCACCCCCTAACCTAAGCCTCAGTGAGGCAAAAACAGATCGTACAAAAACATACAAATGAGATTCTATGAATTTATACAAATTCAGCAAAATGTAAAAAAGTTAATAATTGCCATGAGACTGGCACAAAATGACTTAGCATGAGACTTTTCCAAATCGTCCCCTATACGCTCATTTACAATTCTCAACTAATAAAGTATTGTCCACTTGAATTCAGAATTTGTGAATTTGAATATTTAATTTGATTGCACCGGAAGGCCTGTGGGCGCAGTCTTCTGTTGAGTTGGGGTTATTTACTTGAAGTGACCCTCACAGTGCATTGGTATCCACTGAGTGTACAGTATATCGGTTGAACACTGTGGTGCTGTGGTGCACTCAGTTATGCCCACTATGGTTTCGAAAACCACTACAAATGGCTGTTGCCTTCAAATAGTGCACTATATAAGAGTAAATGGTGTTGTTTTAGTGGATCATGTGTGTTGCACAAATGGTGTGGGTTTAAGACTATATGAGTTTGTTTAAATCTCACATCTAAACACAAAAGAAAAGAACTGTATTTTAGCATGCTAGCGGTCAACTATTGTACATTTATTAAACTCCATGAAGTTCATCCCAATTCCACATCAGAGGTGTGATATTAGATGTCTGTGTGAATGTCACGGGCCGTCAAGCATTGAAGTTACACAGGGCAAGCACCTGTAGCAAAGCTCCTTCAGCTCCATCCCAGCTGATTGAAAACAGCTCAAGAGAGCATGTGTGTTTTCATGAGTAATGGGGAATGTGGACTGCTGGGAGGGACGGCTTTCACACTCACCGAGGTTGGGTTGAGAGAGAGCCATGGAGCGCTGCTGTATGTTGCCGTTGTTGGAGGCTTGATTGTGCAGACCCATCTGGGTCACCGAGGGTGTCATGGTCTTCCTGGGGTCGTGCCATGTGGTGATCTTCTCAACGTGACTGCACAAGAACGAAAACAACATGTTCACATTAAACACACTGCAGAAGAGTATTCACACTGTTTTGAAGAAAACCTGTTTTTCTTTAGGTCAAGCAAACCAGAACTTGTTTTTCTTGTATTCTAGGAACACAATGGCGATTTTGCACATTGAACACTTCAGCCTGATCCCAACCATTTACTCCAAAACCCATTTAAAACCCAATGGTCTCTCAGAGGACATATTTAGATTTCTTGGCCATGTCTAACTACAAGTGTTGGGGAAGCACTACGGAAATTGCATGGTAATGGGATGGGAAGAATCAATTATATCAATGCTTTTGCTTTTCTTTCGCAAAGGTTCCCCAAAAAAAATTGCGCTAAAGAAATGATGCCTATCATTACATTTTAGAAAACAAACTAGATTTTAACTATTTTATGAGTTGACATTTTCACATGAATTTGTCTGATAAAAATGAAAATAATGCAAATAAGCATGAAGGAGAATCCTTAAACTGAACCCTTAGTGGGTTTAAACAGATCATACAACAATGTATACACCAAATTTACAGGAACCCACCAAAACTTAAATCAGTTAATAAGTGCCATTAGACTGAATGTATCCGAAATCACCCTCTATGCCCACATTCACCATACATTTCCCTACAAACAAGTAAACGCAAAGTTTCTTCGGTGAAGACAAAGGTTTTGTGAGCAAACTTATTAGGGGAAGCTCAAAAGTTTTGCAAAAAAAAAAAATCATTTTACGATGCAAGATTCTGCCTTAAATCATTCAACAAGCCATTGCTGGACTCAACGCAACCTTTCGACCTGCAGTTCTAACCACAGAGCTCTAAAAGTCCAGAATGAACAATCACTGCGGATCGTATCACGTAACAGATGTACTGGTGTTTTCAGGCTGTGGTGTCCTCAACAGTTCACTCTCGTCCTCTCCACTCCTCCACCCTGAGTAAACCCTTCAAAACTGCAGCTACGTGAAATTCTGGCTTCTCTGCATTTTTCATGCAAGGCCACAAGCGTCAGACTGGTGGTTGCTAAATGACAATCTCAGTGTCCCTCAGTCAATAAACCAGTTTAGCATTGCTTTCATTATCAGGTGGGCTTTACCGTCTAGTTCAGGGGTGTTCAAACCTGTTCCTGGAGATATGACTTCCGCTTGAGATTAGTCTCAACCTTGTCTGATATTTTCAACCTTGATGAGCAGGTTCAGGTGTGTTTCGCTAGAGCTGGAACTGAACTCTGCAGGAAAGCAGATATGCAGGACTGCAGGATACGGTAATGATGAATAAATGCAAGCCTTGTACAACCACTGGTTAAGCTCCAACATTTGGTTGCCAGTAATCTTATTTATTTACAGTTGATCACCTGCAATGCTAAAGGGGTGGTAATTTTTCATTCCACTGACTTCCATTTATACACAATCTCATGCTAAGTTTCCAATTCAACTTTATATGAAAGTTGGGCAAACTAAGACCTGCAAATTAATATGATGTATATGGATGCGTGACCAATAGAAGATCGATACATCATATTGTGACACCTTTGCTCAATTAAAAGAACCCAATCTTCAAATACAGGAAATTGGAGTAGTGCTTTTAAATTTATATTTATTTTATCATTCTTAAGGTGCAGTTTTATTAGTGAAATGTGGCAAAATGTTGTGACCAAAAAAGGTCAATGTTCCATTGTCAATTGTATAGTGATGCATGAAGCTCCACTTACAACAAGAGTCACTTTCAAACCAAGCAGATTTCTATTGGTTAATGCGACGAATTTGCATGACCAACTTGAACAATTTTTGACAAGCTTAAAATAGTACATAAATTGTGTATAGTCAACAATCGCACCTTAATTCTAACCAATCAATCAATATCTGGGTTTAAAGAAGATCCAGACCCATAAATGTATCAACTTGGCTGATTACATTCTTTACGGGGTTTTTAAAGTTTTAAACTAAAATATATGACACTAAACTTCACCAGCTTGTTTGTACACAAACTGGTCTGAACAGAAAATCATATGGCTGTTAGTGACCAAATGAGTCACAAAATACACAAAAGCCTCAATCAGAGAGTGACTCACTCAAGCTATTCACGCTACGCCGGGAAGATTATCTACTTCCTGCTGATCTCAGGCCTGCACAGTGGCAGAACAGGAAGCCATGTCTCCACAGCAGACCTCCCGGTGCATGTTTTGAGAAACTATTATTCTGTGTCTTTAATAAACTGTTTCTAATTTTTTACTGGTTACATTTCCAAGAATTCAGTATTTCTTCATAAGATCTTAAAATATAATATTGTTAAAATAACATGTAAATGTTACTGCTTTTTGTTTATGCTGTAAACCTGACCATCGGTTTCTAAAGTTGTGGTTTAAGAGACTCCAGCTTTGTGAAATACATCAACAGTGGGGTTAATTAACACAGTCAGGATGCTATTAGTCTGAGTGGTTTAGATTTACGAAGGTCTGACAGAAGAGAGAAGGAACGGGCCCTTGGGGGTCTGGGTGGGGCAGCTGTCCTGCACCTGTGGGTTGGGCCCCTTAAATTTAAGGCCCATCTTCCCATGCATTAAAGCCAATATGTGCAGTGGAACAGCTGTTTAGCAGCCTAATGTTAAAGCAAACAACAATTAGCCAGTGGCACAATTTTGCTTTCTCTTGTTTTACACGTTTCGTAGAATTATCAGGACTAGTGGCACAGTGGCACAGGCATAGCATTTTTTGTCTGCTTAAAGGGTCATATTTATGACTTTTACAGCATTATATTTTTCTCTCTTATAAGGTTAGTCAATGTTCTGTTCTGGCAGCTGTACTTTTCTTTTGACCATTTTCCAGCCTCTCTCTGACCCTTTTGTTGAGTCCTTAATAAGTGACAATTGATAAAAAGCTTTTTATGCAAATCTCAGTTTGATGTTGTCACAAGTAAAAGTGGGCAGTCCTATGTTAATGAGCTCATGGCTATAAGTTGTTTGGAAAGGAAAGTTTTTAGACATGATTTTATGTCTACATCAGGGATTCTAAACTCTGGCACTTTCCTGAAGAGTTTAGAGCCAACTCTAATCAAACACACCTAGACAAGGTAATCAAAGTCTTCAGAATTACAAGAAAGGTAAAAGCAGGCAAGTTTGATCAAGGTGGAAGCTAAAATCTGCAGAAAAGTGGAATTCAATGGCTACAGTTGAGTACCCCAGGTCTACATAGTAAATCAGACTCTTAAATTTCTAAAGATGAATTAAAAAATCTTTTTGTCCTCTTATGGTACAGTACTTTCATTTATTTATAAAACCGCAATATTAAAAAGTCTTAAGATAACTAACAATCAATTACACTGACATAACCAAATCATAGTCCATTACTTTGCCAAAATTAACAACCCGGACGAGCCCCCGATTTTTACTTTTCGGAATCCAGTCTAGGGCTGAAAGGTGGGGTTTATAGTTTTTCAGAAATGAGTTTCTGCACTGGTTTGGAAAACTAAAGCAGAGATTAGGAGGCATGGGGGGCTGACGCATGGGTCTCGCATGGCCATGTTTGGGTACAAGCCACATGCTGTTTGCAGAGGAAACACACACACACACCTCAAAGAAACAATGGCTTGGTGGTGGATTAGAGGTGAAACACAGGCTGAAACAACACTCACAGTAGCCAGATGGACACAACACCTCTGAGCTGAGCTTCCCGCTCTTCCTGTTAGTGTGCTAGCTGTAGAAAATAGCACACACACACTCCAATACAGTCCCAGCGCTTGTCATGAGGCACATTCATTTCAACAAACATGCTTACAGCACAGAAGTGAGTGAATCTCTCATTCGCCTTTTAAAATCATCACCTGGTAGCCTGTGTGTTGCCTGCAGAGCGCATTCTATAAATAACTTTAATTTCTTTCATTGTGGCTTCAACACAATATGCATATGCTTTAGAATTTATCTGTATTCTAGTCTATTCTAACAAAAACAAAGAAAATCAGTTTTGGCACGTATATACAGTACATTTGAAATTTACAGTCTTTCTTTTCCACGAAAATTAAGCTAAAATATTGATTACTCATGTTAAACAACAGATTTTGTCCAATCAGGTGCTAAAAAGAGAATGCCCCTCCCCCAATACCATCTTCAACTGACTAGAAAGCAGAGAATCATGGCTGTGATGTAACCAAAGCCTATTAATTACAAAAAAAATAATTAATAAATAAATCAGGGATGGGCTGTTTGATATGTCCCAATTTCCTGTTTGAAAAATGTATCAAACTCTACCCATATCCATCTCGTATGTTGTTCTAATTATAGAGCAGGCAGTGGCAGAGCAGACGCATCTGAAAGCACCTTTCACCCGCAAGCGTGTTCAGAGTCCAGCAAGAAAACTCCAGGAATGTGAGTCTGTCTGTAGCCATAGAGATTTCAACACACTCTAGACGGAGCTGGCACAGACACACACACACACACACACACATACACACACACTATGGCACACAAGCAACACACACTTACTTAGGAAAACAATCTGTGTTAGACATCTATAAGACATCTTTGGACCCACCTCAGAGATGAGTGTTGACTCTTGTTAGAAATACTATAGTTTTAAGTCAATAATTTAGTCTAACATTTTACTATTATTCTACATAGTATTTTAGCAATAGTATGCAAGTGCTATGACAACTCTCATTTAGCGTAGCAAGGTTTATATACATATATATATATATATATATATAGAGAGAGAGAGAGAGAGAGAGGCCTTTTTTTAAGAAAACAAGCAGTTAATTTGGACATTTTCACATAGGGGTGTACTCACTTTTGTGGCCAGCCGTTTAGACATTAATGGCTGTGTGTTGAGTTATTTTGAGGGAGTTATTTTAAATAAATAGATTAAGTAGAATTAAAATAGAATAGAAAGTGCTAGAGTTAGAGGGTCAAATAAAGATGGAACAGATGTGTTTTTAGTCGTCTCTTGAAGATGGCTAAGGTCTCAGCTGCTCGGATTGAGTTGGGCAGGTCATTCCACCAGG